TGGAACGGGCGACCTTGTTGGACGCTTATATAGTAGAACAGAAAATATCAGAGGTGTCAGATACTCGCATACGTACGTTAAACTCTTTCTTGATAATGTTGTGGCCCTGAAAAGGGCCATTTTTCCAACGCGCTCGGCGTAGTTGCCCTTGCGGAGCAGACGGTGAATACGACCGACTGAGAACTGCAGCAGCTGGGCATTCCATGACGGTGGCCCAGTATACCGGAGCACTGGCACTAACGCACTCGGCGTAGTTGCCCTTTCGCCCCCAGGCTCTGCTGCAGTTGCTCTGCTTTCGCTGCTCTGGTACTGCTGCTCTGCTGCTCTACTGCTGGGTCGACGATCGGATAGACAATGATGGAACGGGCGACCTTGTTGGACGCTTATATAGTAGAACAGAAAATATTAGAGGTGTCAGATACTCGCATCTGATGTCTCGGTTGGAGAAAGTATAAGAATATAAAAAAAATCAATCAATTTTCACCATCTTTAGACAATGGTTTACTTTTAACCATTTTTCAATAGTTTACAGAATGAAATCAATAGTTTTGAAATATTTAGCAAATTGCTAGAAATATTTCCAATCGATTGATGCCATTATCTCGTATCTCTGGATTCCAGTCCAGTGCTTGCTTGCAGATTTCGTTTCCGCTCCATCGTAGTGTGTGGCCGACCCACCTCCACTTCCGTTCACGAATTTCTGTCTCTATCGGCTTCTGATGGCACAAACGATGAAGCTCTGAATTTGAGATCCAATTGTGGGGCCACCAGGCACGAATTATGTACCGAAGGCATCTTTTGATAAACACCTGCAGCTTCTGAGTGTTCTCCGCTGATACACACCATGTTTCACTGGCGTATAACAGCACAGACTTCACGTTTGAGTTGAAAATTCGGATTTTGGTGCGTCGACTGATCTGATTCGCTCTCCATACATTTCGCAAACTGGCAAAAGCAGCCCTCGCCTTCTTAATCCGTGCAGCTATGTCGCTCTTGGTGCCGCCGTCCGACGCTATCTGGCTGCTAAGATATTGGAAGCTTTCGACTTTCTCCACTGCCTGCCCAGCTACCGTGAAATTGGAACGGTTTTCCGTGTTGACATCCAACGATTTGGTCTTGTTGACGTTGATGGTTAGACCTGCTTCAGAGGAGCGTTCCACAAGGTAGTCGAGCTTACTCTGAATGTCAGAGCACCGTTGTGCTTATAACGCAACATCATCAGCCAAATCGAAGTCGTTGAGATGCTCCATAGTAATAGGCTGCCACAGCAACCCATGGTTCGGTACACGGTCAACGGCTCCAAGCATGATCTCGTCGATTACGACGAGGAACAGTAGCGGTGATAATATACATCCTAGCCTCACACCCGCGATTACCCGAATCGGTTCTGACAAAGCTCCGTTGTGCAACACTCTGCATGAGAAAGCCTCGTACTGCGCTTCGATGAGGTTGACGATCTTATCAGGCACTCCCTTGCGTCTCAGAGCGCCCCACAAGTTTTCGTGGTTTAGTCGGTCGAAAGCTTTTTCGTAGCCAATGAATACCAAGTACAGAGACTCTTGGAACTCATTGACCTGCTCCAAGATGACGCGGAGCGTGACAATATGGTCCACACAGGATCTTCCAGCAAGGAATCCTGCCTGCTGTCGTCGGAGAGTCACGTCGATCTTCTCCTGTATCCGATTGAGGATAACTTTACACAGAACTTTGAGAACAATACACAGTAACATGATGCCTCGCCAGTTGTCGCATACAGTTGGATCCCCCTTCTTGGGGACTCTTACCAAGACGCCCTACATCCAGTCGGCCGGAAAAGTCGCGGTGTCCCAGATATTGACTAATAGTTGATGCAACATTCGTGAGGATAGCATGGGGTCAGCATTGTGCATCTCTGCTGATATGCGATCGATCCCCGGGGCTTTGTTGGACTTCATACTTCGGATAGCTGCTTCTATCTCCTGCAATGATGGAGATTCAGTGTTGACGTGAGTAACGCGTCTCATCCTTGGTGGATCATGCCGAGATGTTGATGGTCGGTTGACCGTTGAAACTTCGAGAAGATGTTCAAAGTACTCAAACCAACGTTTCAACTGGTCAGTGGGGTCGGTGTGCAACTGTCCAGTTGCGACTTTCACAGGCATCCTTGGGTTCATCCTTGCCCCGCTCAGGCGTCGTGAAACATCATAGAGGAGGTGGATATCACCAGTTGCTGCGGCTTTCTCCCCTTCATCAGCCAGGGAGTCCACCCACGCTCGCTTGTCCCGTATACAGGAGCGCTTAACTTCCCTCTTTAGAGCCGAATACCGCTGACGGGCCTCGTTCTTGGCTCCTCGGGTCCTTGCTCACTCTATCGCGACTTTTGCTTCTATCCGCTCCTCGATCTTCCTCCAAATTTCATCGGTGATCCACTCCTTCCTCTGAGTGCGCAGGTCACCCAGGTTGTTCTCGCTTGTTTCAATAAAGGCATTCTTGATGCTCGTCCACTGTTCTTCTACGCTGCCACCTTCCGGAATATTAGCTGCGCGAGCCTCGAGCTCTTCAACGAACGATCTCTTCACTGCTGGGTCTTCCAGTCCAACACACGCCGACAACAAACGCCGACCGAGTCTCTCCTCCCACCGTTGAACCCGCGCAATGCGTAGGTGGATCTCACCGACCAGGAGATGATGGTCAGACGCGATGTCAGCGCTGCGTTTATTCCGAACATCAAGAAGGCTCCGTCTTCATTTTCGGCAGATAAAAATGTGGTCGATTTGGTTCTCTGTATATCCATCACGGGAGACCTATGTGACATTATGCACTGGGCGATGGGGGAAGAGCGAACCCCCGATCACCATGTCGTTGTTGCCACAAAACTCTGCAAGCAGTTCGCCGTTCTCGCTCATATCTCCTCACTTTCCTCTACGTGCGATGACACGTCGGAGTGCTTGCAGAAACCTATCAGTGGACAAGTCAGACACCAGTTCGATGTGCACGGCCTTTGTACACATACATACAAAAATGGATACGTATGTCTTGACAGCAACTCGACGTGGTCCTGGCCGAATATATACCGGTCCAAAGTAATCAACACCAGTTTTCGAGAAAGGGCAAGAAACTGTGTCTCTCGATTCAGGTAGCTCTCCCATGAATTGCTCCACCAGCTTTGGTTTCAACCTGCAGCACGTTAGGCATTGATGAACTACCTGTCTGGAAACGTTTCTTTCTCGTAATGGCCAGAAGCGTTGACGGATTGATCCCAACAAAAGTTGTAGACCAGCGTGAAGCAAACGAAGTTGATATTGTTCAAAGAGCATCTTGGTACAGCGATGACGTCTGACTCTCTTGAATTCTTCAAACGCCCACCAATCCTCAAAATGCCTTCTTCGCAAATAAACAGGCTATACCAGCGCAAGGGTGACCTTCTGGAAACAGGTTCATTCCTCCTCAGCGCTTCTGGAAACGCTTCTTCCTGGACCTTCCTAATGAGAACAAAGTCCGCCTTGCGTAGCTTTTCTGAAGATAGGAATCCAGTCGGTCGAATCAGTACCATGTAGGAAGCTGACTGGGAAATGAACCATTCGTTGAACTCTTCAACCGCTGAAGCTGCGGTGACAACTGCCGTCCGCCCTTTTTCCTCTTCGCATTCCTCCTCAGACAGAGGGTCCACTGAGATGGGCCAAGTGTTCCGATCCTGAGTTAGCCAGCTTGGCCCGTGCCACCAAAAGTTGTTGTTGAGGATCTATATCGGCCCGATTTCCCTCGAAACCAAATCTGCCGGATTGTCAGCACCCGCAATGTGCCTCCATTCGCAACCTTCCGTAATCGCCTGGATTTTCGCTACTCTGTTTGCGACGAATACGGACCAAGTAGAGGGAGAAGCCTGTATCCAGCGAAGAGCACACATCGAATCTACCCACACAGACAGTAAGACAGTAAGTTTGGTAGCCTGTAGAACCTTCTCGAGAAGTTGTGCTCCAATCGAGGAATTGATTGGGATTTCAGAGGAGCAACGTTGGATTTGGAAGTGAGTAGTTCATCCTTGACATTTCCATCCTGATCCTGGCTTCTAATATAGAGGCATCCACCGTATGCCTTCATTGACGCATCCGAGAAGCAGTGAATCTCGATCTGCATGGCTTGAGGAATGATCACACAACGATCTATGCGGATATCGTTGAGGATCGGTAGTTGGACGTGAAATCTTCTCCGTCGAAGGTATCTTTTTTTTTTTTTTTCCTTTGGTTTGTTTTTTTCGTCGATCTTGTTTTCCGTGCTGAGCACCAATGCTACCGACGTGCCAGGAAGGCAGCTCCCACACCTGGACCCTACCTATCGACCCATCAACTCATGAACCGGGGACCAACGGCTTTACTTCCCATCCGAAGGAAGGCGTGATCAGAGATGTTATGCCTCAGAACATCCCGGCGGCGCCGACTGGGATTGAACCCAGGCCTGCTGGGGTGAGAGGTAATCACGCTTACCACTACACCACCGGCACCGTTATCGAAGGTATCGGCTTATCCCAATATAACCTCTTACCTCTTCATCCTCCATCATCAAACTAAAACCGGAAAACATCGGGATTAGGGAGCCAGGTTAGTCCTAACGCCTTGACGGCAGGGTGTGGCTCGAGATTGATTCCTTCGGATGCACAGATCGCAAGATTCTCTTCGGGAATTCCGTGCAAGACTTCTGCACAGTTGGATGCCCATTTTCTGAGCCAAAAACCACCGCTGCTCGTCATTCCGTCTAGCTGAACCTACAGCTTCTTGGCCTCCTCCAGAGTATCGGTAATCGCAGCAACTGCCAATGGATATCGATCGCCTTCTTCCATTGCCAACTGGTTGAGTGTGCGAGTTGCTAGGAACGGAGCAGGTTTCGTTCCGTAAGTAACAGTGTTGAACTCGTAAATGCCTACCTCATCCGATGATGATGGACGCCAGAAGATGGATTTGAGTGGTCGATCTATGGAAATAACGAAGATCTGGCGGAACATTTTTTCCACGTCGACTACAAACATGATTTGCTTCGTGCAGCAACGGAGGATGATGGATCGAAGATCTTGCTGTATTACCGGCCCTACCAGCAGTGCATCGTTCAACGGCAATCCGGTAGACGTTTTACAAGATGCGTCGAACACCACCTGGCCTCCTTCACCACCGGATGATGTGTTCTCCTTCGACCTTCCGCATGTGACCTAATTGCACATACTCTTCCATAAATGCAACATACTGTTCCCGTAGGTTAGCGTCTTTGGATAGTCTACGCTCGGTACCTTGAAAACGTCGGAATGCGATCTCCATAGATTCGCCCAACCGAGAAATTTTGTTTTCGTCCTTGGGTAGGGAAACAGTAAAGCAGCCGTCCGCTTCACGCTGCACAGTGCTCGCAAACATTGCTTCACAGCGGGATTCAACTGTTGTTGTTGGTTGACTCAACCTCCTCTATGGACCAAAACCGGGATAGTAGTTCCCCCAAACGATCCGTTGTTGCCATGTTTCAATTGATTTGCATACTATGGTTACCTCCGGCATATCATCCACAGACTACCATGCCGAAGACTGAATTGTGTAACGCTGGAAGTCGCTCTCCAAGCGAAATTTTCCTACCCGAGTCGAAGAAGACGAAGAATGCTTCTATTCCCAGGACGAGATCCCACCTTGATTCCTTCTGGAAGTGTCCAACCGGATGTGTTGATGGTGGTAGTCGGTAGGTTCACTGTAACCTTCGGTAGAACTTACAGATTACCTTGGTAGCTGCCTGACCAATGCCAATAACCAAAATATCCACCCTTCGGCGAGTAATCTTCAGACGCCGACTGAGACGCTCTGAGATATAATTGCTCTCCGATCCAGAGTCTAGCAGAGCTCGAGCTGGAATCCGATTGCCGTCATCATCCTGAACTACGACAACCGCTGCAGCCAGCAAAAGCTTGGATGAGCATTGGTGGGCTGTACCTGCCACCAAGCTGTCAGTAGCTGCCACATTAACTGCTTGAGGAGTGGAAGAGGATGCTAATTGTTTCAAGGATTGATTGGATTCCGAAGCTTCCTTTGATACGTTACTGCCCTTGATTGAGGTCTTGGAGTTGGAGTCCCCATCAAGTTTAAAACAGACCAACGTGTGGTGTTCTAAAATGATTGAATCGGTGTGATTTTGGACTCTAAACTCAAGCTCGCCGATGGCTTCCATGACCCTCTATGACTAAAATCACTGTACTGCGCCCTAGTTCGCTCCATTTTGGAATCCGCTGTATTGGTTTGGTGTCCATATAGTGTATGGTCGATCCGTGGCCGTTCTAACTTGTCGCCATATGAACATTTCTCATAGCTGCTAGGTATCGAGACACTGGAGAAACCTTAGGTCTAATCAGCAAGCGGTGTTCATCGCTAAGGTCCTAACCAACGAGGTTGATGCTCCTGATATTCTTGCGGATATAAACGTCTATGTGCCTGAACGCTCCCTTCGTCGATGTAATCTGCTGTAATCCATAATTACGAAATATTACACGCCAAGATGCAAGTTTTAACTGCTGTGGCACTTTGTAAGAGCCCCGTTTTCTTGTCCGGGTACAGACCTCAAGTGGTGGTCCTGTCTCAGCGAGAGTTGCCCATTAGATAATAGTGCACTAATTACTGGATATTATCGAACACTCCGCTATCCTTGTCCAACTAAAAGGCATCAAATACATTCTCATTCAAGTCCATGTCTCTCTTTCACAGCAACGGACGTCACCGGTGACCCCCTCCGGTTTCACCTTGACCGTTATGCAACGCACCCCGTCGTAGACGAACTTGAAAGATGCTTTGCAAATGACGTCCAATTAAACTTTGGCTCCCGTGTGTCAGCCTCTTCTAGCCATTTCAGATTGTCCCGGAACGAACCTGACACAAGGGTGATTGTTATCTTGTTCACGAAACACGGTACGCACGGTTGATTGGATATGCTAAATGGCCATTTTGATTAAAACTAATGGTGTGGTGTTCATGCAACAAGACACTTGATGGTGGCCAGAAGTGTGGCATAGAATGCAATTACCGATCAAAAGGTGTTCTGTGACTGTAGGATAATTAATGCGTTATCCTTCCAGTTGACGACGAGCAATGCGAACGGAAGGCAAATGACAATGAAGCTGCTGCCTATCTTAACAGTAGAAGTCGAAATACTGCCATGTACCATGCACCTTCATAATGGTAAACAACCCAGTTTCGGTAGATTTATCGGAGAACTAATTATGGAACACAAATAGGGGAAAGAACTAGTTTGTGTGGAGCACCATGTTCCAGCCACCATCGATAGCACAACTTTGGCACTAATCGCTGATTAAACATTATGGCATAAATCTCATCCACAGCAACACCGGGGCCGCCGCTACCTGTCCCTATAACCTGCATCAACACCGGCAGGAGAGCTGATGTGATAAAGCTCTATATTTTTCACGCTTCGTCGATAAATTTCCACCACAACTCTGATAATGCCAGCATATCCCTCTCGTGCTGTTGTTTATCGCCCATCGTCTACCCCCATGGGATCTAACCCAAGTAGTAATGGAGAAAAAGAAACGAGGCCCCTTCTTCTCGCTCCCCGTCCACCATAAATTGGCTTTGATAAATTGTTATTATGATTATACACATACACTCTTTGTCTACACGGTGAAAAATTATGATGCAAATAAACATTCTGTTTGCCCCATTTTTCGGCTGATAGGTACTCTCCGCGGGATATCGCCTCTTGATGAAAAATCCATTTCACCCGGCTATGAATCACAAGAACTTATCGTTTGGTTCTCAGCAGCAGCAGGGAGCAGCAGGGAGCAAGAGGCCATAACCTCCACAGATTAATGTACTCTCACCCGGGGAGCGATAATGATGAACCACTTGGAAAGCTTGCGTGTGTAGATATCGCCCTACTGGGGAGTACCTGGTAGCCGTCTTATGGATCCTGCAAGAGAACTGGTTGGGGGGATGGGAAGTTGTTTTTCTCAACCTTCGTGTCATGTTTGTTCGATGTGTGGATATTTGATTTATCGCGTGTGTATAACTTTTCCTAAATGGAATATCGCCTTCTGCCGCGTATTATACCATGGAGTAACATTTGGATGATGTTTCTTGAATCGAGCAGTCGGAAGCGTTTCCAGATGATGTTCGAATCAGAAACGTAAAGGTAGATTTAAGGATTATAATAATTACGCCGTATTACAAGACAAAAATACCTTTCAAGCGACCTAAAAGCATGGCCCACTTAGTAATGGATTTGAATTAACGGATTTGAAAACGGTTTTCACTCAAGTGCATACTTATATTTTAATAATAAAAAAAGTTACTGGTTGTATCCAAGACACGACCGTTGATTTGACGTAGGATTACGAAAGGTAGTTTTGATGTCACAGCAAAAGTCTAGTATATATTAAATTGATTTCTTAACTCATTATCAGAGAAAAAGTTCGATAGAATGAAATTCGTAAGCAATTTGAGAGTTCTGTTTGTGAGGTGCTCTGTCGATGTCTATGTAGTACAAGCCAATCCTGGGCGGTATGTCTTGGATACAAGCTCTTACTCTTTAGTTAACTCTTTTATCAGTCATTTGTAGTCCTGAACCGATGGTTTGGAAGTGTGGAAACCGGTTTAGAACAAATAAAATAAATATTAGAGAAAACACATCAATCACAGAATCTGAGCATACCGGATGGTACGTTTTTGCTTTTGACGTAGGACTACGTATGTGATTTCTATATGAGAGCACACTTTGTGAAAACCAAAATTGGAACCTGTAACAAAAATATGAAAGATTTTGAGCGTTAATTACTCAGCTGGACCAATTTCAAAATTTTTATCACCAATTGATCAGAAAAATTCCTACGCATCTGTTAAATTTAAGACTTTGTCATTTTTCAAAATGTCACTATTGAAAATTGCACGAATGTGCAACTGTTGCTATGATAGTTAAAATTATCACCGATTGCCTGCGAAAAGCGATTTCCCTAACAAAGATTTCAAAGTTGAATTCCATCCGGTCTCACCAAACGGTGAGAAGAATGCTGGAAGAATGCAGTAGAGCGTCAATCCGGACCTCTACGGTAGCGATCATTACCCGGCTCAGGTGCAACTCTTTGCCGCCGCTATACTGGCAGTGACGCGGAGACCTCGGTTGCGCTATGACGAAGCCGATTGGAAGAGTTACGGTGCAACCTTCCAGTCGCTCCTTCAACAACGTAACCCTGACAGCATCGAGAGTCTCACTGAAGCAATAAACGCAGCTGCGTCAGCAACCATCCCGAAAATCAGCAGCATTCCGGGGCGTAAAGCCCTCAGATGGTGGAACGAGGAAACGAAGAAGGCAGTTAAGGCCCGGCGAAAAGCCCTTCGACGAGTCAAACGGCTTCCCATAGATGATCCGGATATGGAAAACGCACTCTGTATCTATCGAGAACGGCACAACCAGTGTCGCCAATTGGTCCGAGATGCCAAACGATGCAGTTGGACGGACTTCCTCTAAAGCTTAAATGCCTCACAGTGTTCGGCGGAGCTCTGGGGTAAGGTCAACGCCCTCAGTGACAAGCGCCGTACGGCCACACTGCATATACAGGTAGACGGCGCTGCAGTCTCCGACTCCGGAATCGTTGCAGATAAGCTTGGTGACTATTTCGCTGACCTCTCTGCGATTTCCAAGTACGAGGCGACCTTTCAACGGCTAGCAAACCCATCGAATTCGTCCGTAAGCAGTTTTCGAGTTTCTCCGGACAGGAACAACCTGAGGATCAACCACGATTTCACCTGGCAGGAGCTTCAGTTCGCGCTTAGTAGAAGCAACGGGAAATCAGCCGGCCCAGACGAGATCGGCTACCCGCTGCTCAAGAACCTGCCTATCCCGGGTAAAGTAAAAATGCTGGAACTCTTCAACCAGCTTGGGCAGACAGACTCGTATCCAGAGCATTGGAGGGAGAGCTTGATTGTGCCCATCCCCAAAGCAAACGAGCCGACACGGGACGTGGCGAAGCTCCGACCCATTGCGTTCACCTGCTGCATGGCAAAGGTGTTCGAGCGGATGGTCAACCGACGACTGAAGCAGTTTCTCGAGTCTGGCGGCTTTCTAGACCATTGCCAACACGCATTCCGGCAAGGCCACGGTACATCCACGTATTTTGCGACGCTAGGAGCGCTCCTCAAGGATGCTAAGGATAATCGTCTCCATACGGAGTTGGTTTCCCTGGACATTGCGAAAACTTTCAACCCTACATGGATGCCCGCGGTACTGAAGCAACTCGTCAGCTGGGGCCTTAGCGGCCATATCATCCATTTCGTCTAAAATTTTCTGACTGGCAGATCCTTCCGAGTCTCGGTAGATTATACCAAATCCCGCACTTTCTGCGAGGAAACCGGCGTTCCCCAAGGTTCAGTGATCGCTGTCACTTTGTTCCTGGTAGCCATGAACAGTGTTGCCCGGGTTATCGTAGACAGTCGACTGATGTATGGACTGGAGCTGACCTGCATCGCAACCGAAAAGCAATACAAATACTCGCTCCGGTGTACAATAGCTACACGCACATCAGCTCCGGTCTCCTACCCTCGACGCCAGCCGATGCCAGCTGTGTCGAAGCCGGCACTCTTCCTTTCCGGTACCGCATCTATTAGCCATTACCAACAAAGCCGCTGCATTTTCAGCAAATACCGCCGGAAACGACAGAATCTGCCTCCTCAGCGAGGGGGATAGAGTTCTCCGTACAATCACCAACGCAGAGCTCCCCCCAGTGGCCAAGATTCACTGGTACGGAGATAAGAGTTGGCAATCTCCCGCACCAAACATCGACAGCCAGATAAAGGAGAAGTTCAGAGCCGGCGACAATTCCGTAGCCCTTAGGAGATCGGTAGCAGAGCTGACCGGATTGTACCCAAACTACATGCATCGTTACACGGACGGGTCAAGATCTATTTAGAGCTGGAGTCGGAATGGGAATAGCTGGTGACATTTCCCCAACGAGTAGAAGTCTGTTAAAACAATGTTTGGTGTTCTCGGCAGAAGACGCGGCTATTCTTCATGCCGTCACGGTTCCTGCGGATCGCCCAATCCTGATCCTGTCGGACTCACACGGTCTGCCTGCCAGCGTACGACACGCTAGCAGACGTGCCCTCAACTCAAGCAGCTGTACTCCGCTTTTTGAAGTCGGCGAAGCTATACTGCAGGATTTAACACCATCGATGCTTTCAGCCGTCCGGACATACCCGCTGGACGGGGCCCCCAAAGACCTCCTACAGTGGACCTATGTTTTGTTATTGGTTTTATTTTTGTTAATTTTATATTTTGTTCTTCTATTTTTGTAACCTTTTAGTCTGTCTTTTTCGTAAGCTGTTTACTGTGTTATTGTACTAGCTGTCTATATGTTTAGCTAAGTAGATAATAAAAGGTTGAATTAGCATGATACTCAAGCAATGTAGCTTTCTAAGGCTTCCCACCCTTTACGGAGATAAACTAGCCTACGGCTAAAAGTCTCTTAAATAAAGAAAAAAAAAGAACAAACAAACGGTGTTTATTCAATCTCCAGTTCAAGACAAAAGGCTCCCCCCAAGCAGCTAGCTATCAAGGTTGGCCTCAACCATTGATCGGATTCAGTTCCAATTACCGTGTGTGGTGGTCAAGGTCATCAATCCGGTCACCCGACGGTAATGTTGGTTTGCGTGAGCGTGCCTTGAATTCCTAAAAATCATCGAGTGAAGTCATTGTTTACAAAACCTGTTACGCCTAATTCTAGCTCTATCTAGATATGTTTATAAGCGGCGCCGATAGTGTAGGGGCAAGCGTGATTACCTCTCACCCTAGCAGGGTTCTATCCCAATCGGCGCCGCCGGGATGTTCTGAGACATAACATCTCTGATCACACCTAGGGAAGTAAAGTCTTTGGTTCCCGGTTCATGAGTTGATAGCTCGATAGGTAGGGTCCAGATGTGGAAGCTGTCTCCCTGACGTCAGTAGCTTTGCTGCACGGAACACAAAACAAAGGAAAAAGAAACAAATAGATATGTTTAAATCTAACATACCATGTACTTTAGGGCAACATTGGGGTACAATTTCAAAAACCAAAGTTGGTCGCGGCATGAAAGTGGTCTGATTTCGATCTAGTGTTGACGGATTTTAATTCTTAATACGCCAATCGATAGGATTTTTTTCTACAAATCTGTTAAAATTAAGACTATCATTTTTCAAAATGTCACTATTGAAAATTGCACGAAAGTACAACTGTTGCTATAATAATTAAAATAATCACCGATTGCCTGCAAAAAGCGATTTCCCTAACACAGATTTCAAAGTTGAATTCACACTCAGCTAGTCTCACCAAACAGTGTTTATTCAATAACCTCGTGGTGAGTGGTGGTGTTCTTCAGTTAACAACGAAAGGTTGCCCGCAAGCATCGATGTGCAGCCCACATGACCATATATAGAAAGAAGCCTCAGAGCTATTGATCGGAATAAGTAGCTCTTCGTGAGTCACTATGGGCCATCTATGTCAAGCGCGTCATTCTAAAGAATATAAACAGAGAGAACCCCGCTCAAATTCCTATTCATGCACAAAACATAAGCAGTTAAGTTCCTTAGTGCAAATAATTTAAGGATAGAAGATCATATTTGAAGTAAAAAAATTGTTCTACGCATATGATCAAATCTCAAAGATTACCGAGTTATTGAACTTTTTCTGTTTTGGGCTATGCTTGCTATAAATGGGTTCTAATTCGTAAACTCTGCCATTTAGCACAAAACTCTTGCCTGCATTGGACAAGTGTGGCGATCAAGTGTGCTATGCGCGCTGCAAATAGACGTCAACAGCAACGCACGGTGGGGTTGTATTCGTGTTTTACCCAACCGTTAATTAACAACCCAACATGATGTGTTTAGTACGAAATTGCGACAAAACTAAACAAGATAGAAGATTGGTGTTAAATAGAGAGTTTTAGAGCGCATTGAGAGGCATCTTTTGGTTAGGCAAAACAATACACTTTATTACGTATTTTTTAAAATAATAAAAGAAAACCCAAAGGAAAACACAAGTTTTTGATTAGTTTATCCCTAAAATGTGTCTAAATGCAGCTTACTTAAAGTAGAAATGATACTATTAAGTAGGAAATATGCCAAGCTGTCTTATGAAGCCAAGAGTTTTGTACTAAATGGCATAGTTTTTGAGTTTGTGCCAATTTATGGCAAGTATAGACCAAAACAGAAAAATTTCAATAACTCAGTAATCTTTGAGATTTGATCATATGCGTAGAACAATTTTTTTACTTCAAATATGATCTTCTATCCTTAAATTATTTGCACTAAGGAACCGAACACCCTGTGTATAAAAATGAATTTCTGTCTGTCTGGCCCTTATAGACTCGGAAACTACTGAAGTTTCTGCATAACTCGAGAACTAATCAAGCAAATGGAACTAAATTTGGCATGTGCAGGTCAGCCCCTTAGATAAGAGGGGGGGGGGGGGGCTACGTACATGCTTTTCTTAATTTGGCGCATAAACTCAAGCTAATATTGAATCCCGAGCAAGGCCGGGCACACTCAGCTAGTACCATATATTGTTAAGGCAACATTGGCAGTGCAATTTCAGACTCCAAAGTCGGTCGCGACTTGAAAGTGGTTGGATTTTGATCCAGAGAGGATGGATTTTAATTCTGAATACGCAAATCGATAGGAAATGTGCAAGTGTTGCTGATTATTAAATGGTCACCGATTGCCTGCGAAAAGCACTTTCCCTAACACAGATTTCAAAATTGAGTTTCATGCGGTCTCAACGAACGCTGTTCATTCAATCACCGCATGTGGTGAGTTGTGGTGTTCTCCAGTACACAATGAAAGGCTACCCGAAGGAGCTACCTATCAAGGCTGCCCTCAACCGCTGATCGGATTCAGTTGCTCGTCGTGAGCCGCTGTGGGCCATCTATGCCGAACGCGTCACCCTCGTTTCAAACAACGTACAGCTCGTCAGCCTCATCCGTGTTGAACACCCTAATGGCTCAGCATTACTCAACCATCAAGACAAAATGATTCTTTTCAGGACCACCCTAAATTTAGTTGTTTAAGAGTTAATTTTCATTGAACGTTCGCTCGCCTTGCTGCCTGCCACATCACTCCCAAAGCTCTTTGATAATGAACCCAGCAACCAAACGTTTGTGGTCAAGTGCGTCAAGTATTGCAGTGGTACATAAAAATTCTCACAATGAACGTATACCACATACTTACTTACCAATCAGGCTAAGGCCTTGTTGTCCTCTGCTGTCCGAAGAAGTCGTCTCCACTCTACTCGATCCATGACCACAGTTCGCCAGCCTGCGAAGGGTCCGTAGATCACCTTCTACTTGGTCGATCCACCTTGCCCGTTGCGCGCCTCTTCTTCTTGTTCCTGTTGGGTCGCTTTCTAGAACCATTTTCACTGGGTCGTCGTGCGGCATTCTTACGACGTGCCCAGCCCACCGTAGTCGCCCAATTTTGCAATGTGGACAATGGATGGTTCTCCCAGCAGCTGGTGTAATTCGTGGTTCATTCGCCTCCTCTACGTTCCGTCATTCATCTGCACTCCACCGTAGATGGTACGCAACACCTTCCGTTCGAAAACTCCAAGGCACGTTGGTCCTCCACGAGTATAGTCCAGGTCTCGTGGCCGTAGAGGACCACCGGTCTAATCAGCGTCTTGTAGATAGTCAACTTCGTACGGCGGCGAATTTTATTCGACCGGAGCGTCCTCCAGAGTCCAAAGTAGGCACGATTCCTTGCCATAATGCGTCTTTGAATTTCTCTGCTGGTATCATTTTCGGCGGTCACCAGCAGAGCTGAAAATTCTCTGGGGAGAATCACCTGGGTGCAAGAGATATCATTCTGTGGGGTGAATCTCTGCTTGTCTCCTCGGAGTTTTTTCCTGGCACCACTGGAGAGATTTTGAGACACAGCACGAGAGAGTGAGAATGTTGACAGTTCACTGTTTGTCTGTTTATACACTCACTTCCGTGAGAAAGATGGCAGCGCAAATGCGTTATTGTTTCTCGAAAGATTCCGGCAGAGCTTGACGAGAGTGAAAACATCAATAAAATGGCTGAAAAACGTATACAAAGGCAAGGGAGTAGCCAGGTTTCGAGCTAGGGAGGGGAGAAAAAAATGTGGCCGAATGCCATTTTACCGAAAGCCTTTAGTGCGGTTTGAGGACGGTACCGAAAAGGTGGTTGTGAATGTTGTGTTGCAGGGAAAATGGAAAAACATTAAAAGTGGTGTTGCTAGATCACTGCTCCTCTCTCCATTTTCGCTGCAACTGCTGACGGCATTCCAAGTGC